AATATGTGCCATTCTCACTGGTGTAAGATGGTATTTACCCAAAGAACACAGAAACATCAATTCCAAAGAACACCTGCACCCCTATGTTTATAGCAGCACTGTTTACAATAGCTAAGCTTTGGAAACAGCCCAAATGCCCAAAAATAGATGACTGGATCAAGAAGATGTGGTACATATATACCATGGAATATTACTCAGCATTCAAAAAAGATAAACACATGCAATTTGCAGCAACATGGATGACGCTGGAAGGGATCATGCTCAGTGAAATAAGCCAAAAGAAAAAGAAAAATACCGGATGGTCTCACTCATAGCAGGGATCTAGAAAACTTAAATAAGGGACCAGGAAAATGAATAACTATAAGAAAGTGAAAATCAAAATCAACAAAAACTATGAACCAGAGACACTTTTGGGGGGGTGGGGGGGGAGGGGAGGGATTGGGGTCAGAATGGGGGGATTGCAATTGTATGGGGAATATAAAAATAAAATTTATTAAAAAAAAAAAAGAAAATTTATGCAAACATATTGAAGTTCTCCAAGTGGAGTGTAAAAAATCACAAAATAAAAAGATGTAGAAATAAAAAAAAAAAAATGTTTGTGCACCTGTAACATTTTTTTGCTCAGCATCCCTTCGCTAGACACTATTATTTTTTGAAACACACACTCCAAGCCACATGGTGAAGTAGAAGATGCTAAGTTCCTTAGGCGTTATCCCTCATATAGCCTGTCTAGACACAGATGATCACCTGACTCAACCAGAACAATCAACACACTCCCTCTGAGTTTGGGAATTTATAAGTCACTCTCCTTCATGAGGCCCGCATGGCAATATATAAAACTTGATAGATGTAGCAGCCATATTTCACCACGGAAATCAAAGAACAGAGGAAGCCTGCCCATAGTAGGAGAGTAAAGCAAACCAAAGCAGAAAAGGCTGATGAAGACCTGAAATTGCATTGCCAAGTTTTTCAGAGTACTACAAGTCCCAGCTCCATTGCTGATCTAGGATTCTTTGCGATACCCCAGTATCTCTCTAATAAATGTCCCTTTTTGCTTAAGTTCAAATTGAGTTTTTATAGCTTGTTAATTAAAGATGAATAACCAGTCATACCAGGATAAATAGATCACATGGGCAGTGTAGATTGTGCATACAAGAGATTGGCCAAGAAAAACTAAAACCTTATTCATTGTGAATATACGGTGAATCTGGAGGATGAAAACTATAGAGTTAATATCACCTTAAAGTAGATCTTGACTCAGCTCTTTTATTTCCCAAGTGTTTACATGCTCTACTCTTTTGTCCCTGTCCAAGACCTAACAATTCTTTCTTTAAAGTTTCTTTTATAGCTATACTATACTATTCATTTAAATTGTAACTACTACAGTCCAGAGTTTCTTAGCTAAGTGGAATTCCTGCTTCCAATTTTCTCATATCCACATATCTTGCATTCTTTTCTCAGACAGATCATAAAAACTACACATCTCATGTCCCTAGCTTTTAAATTTCCAGTGGCTCTTACTGTTAACTGAACAAAATCTTAAAATGTAACTAGGCATCAAGCTCATATAAACTTATATCTATCTTTCAAACTTACAATTACTACTCCCTTCTTTGATTTCTGAATATATCATCAATTTAATTGCCATAAACAACAGTGAAATGGTATGCAAAAGAATAAAGTAGTCTACATGAAGTTACACTAGAAAACTAAAGCCACAGGTGAATGGGTGAGTTACCACCAAACTACAGCACATTGATTTCTTCATAGCATGTATCATTACTTGATATATTACATATTTATTTATTTAGCATCAATCCTCATTAGAAAGTAAGTTTCCTGAGAGCAGGAACTTTGTTCTTTCTAAAGCATAAATGAAAAATATTGCCAAATGGGACTGTGGACACATGTCACAGCATCTTCAATTTTCAAGAGAAACTAGAAATAACTTTGTGCTCAGTCCCAATTTCTAAATGTTGGCAAATTACTAAAAAAATGTTAAGCCATTTTGGGGATGTGAAAGCAAGTATGTCTTCAAACATGTATTCATTCTGAAAGTGGAGTTTGTCATTGCTGTACTAAGAGGGATCTTAGACATTTTTATCTTTCTAATTACTTAAGGTCATACCTTTGAAAGTGTAGGTAACTTGATAAGAAAATGATGATGCTTCAAACATGCACACCTGAGGCTCTGCTATGATTCTGTTGGTTTACTAAGATGCTACTCAAGATGTTCCCCCAGGCCTCCCTCTGGTGCAAGGGGTTAAGCACCGCAAAATGAAGCAATCCACAGCCTCTGCAGCATGAGTTTATTTCCCCAGCTTGCCAGAGAGAAACCCACATGGTGAAGCAGACCTCTCCTGACTCTCCCGCTGCTCCCCTCTGCAGTGTATTTCAGTCAGTCTGCCTGTTCTGCTCTCCACTCTGTCTTTGGTGAATCCTCTCACCCCCCTCATCTCTGGCCTGTGCCTCAGCTCTTCTATGCATAAATAAATAAAAATCTTTAAAAAAAAAGTAGATATTCCTTCCTACCCTAAAGGAAACTGCTTCAGCTTTGGAACCAAAGTGACCACATGACTTTCCCACATCCAAGATTCTGCAGTTAAGAGCTATTATGAGTTCAGAAATGCCATTCCCATGTGTACCCCATAATAAAGAAGAAATGCAGTAAAAAAAAAAAAGATTGGATTTCCAAGGAGTAATGGAAAACAAGGGGTAATGGAAAACAAGAGTCAGTTCTTAAATTATATTTCCACAGTTGATAAAAAGGGTTCCCAATGACAATTTTGCTTTTTTGATTATTTTTAGTATTTTTAGGTTATAAGTATAAGCTAAAATTTTACTTAAGTAGACCTTTTGATGTTCTCTGGGAGCATCTTTTATCTTTTCCAGAAAAAATTATTAACTAGGAATTATTAAATGTTTACTAACTAGATATATAAGGCTAATATAAAGTCACATCTAAATAATTAAGAGTGTCTGATTTTAAACACAGGTCACTTAGTAACAAGTATAATTGTGTAGGGCTAAGAATGCTCATAAGGTATTTTAAAGAAAATACTCTAGGAGAAAATATGTCCAGTATACTCTATACTAACTCACAGTTAGTTAGTATACTCTATACTAACTCACAGTTAGTATACTCTATATTAACTGTGAGTTAATCCCAGCAAATCAATCATCAATTTTCGAAGATGTAAAAAGAAATGACACATATTGGTGATTCTTTTCTGTGTATAGACCAAAGCATAGAGTCTTAAAATATCCATAGGAGACATCAACAAACATCAGAGGAGTTCAACATATCAAATGAGTTTCAATCCAAAATAGTAAAATGTCTTTCAACCCTCTATAGTCAGCATTTAGGACATTAAATTATTAAGTCCATGAAACATAGTTCTTCAGTAATGGCATTAATTTTGTATGCAGAAAGTTTCATTTTTAAATAAGTCCCACAGTGACTTAAACTAAAAATAACAGTGACAAAATGTATTTATCAAAATATGTTTTTTTCAAAATTTAGGTTATTAAAGAGCTATGAACCTCCTCTAGTTAATACAGACTTTTATTCACTTCAAGCCACACTGAATAAGAGGGCCACTGGAGAATCATGACCTGGATTCTCTTACAGACACACAGGTGAACTGATGAATCCCCAGCTCCAAGGCACAAGTACAGGAAGCTCATAATTTCAGATCAGATCAACACAAGTGTGATTTGCAACTCTACCACTTGCTTAGTTTTTTGACCCTGGGAAAGATTCCTAATCTCTTTAAACTTCAATTTATTCATTTGAGAAAACAGAATCCTAACACTGTGTTTTAGGGTTTCCATGAAAATTTAAACAAAGTCCTATTTATTTTGTAAGACACTGAAATGAGGAAGCTGTTACTCAGTATGGCTTGACTAACACGAGGAAATAGAATGCAAAGAGAGGCTAGATGCCACGGTGTCACAAATGGCAGCCATCATAGAGAGCCCAATTAATTCTTATTCTAAACTTAATACAGACAGTGAATTCTCCAGGTCGCCTGTTTGCCATCCTTTACTAAGAACATATTTCTGTTTCAGTACCACATGCTAATGGATTGCACTATTAGAGCTCCTTCTACGAACATAGTACTATACATGGGATAAAAGGTACAAAATTTGGACCTTATAGAAATTCTACTACCACAGCAGAACACATATACAAAAATGTTCACTGGATCACTGTTGTTAATATTGAAGATAGAAAAACCAAAACTTTCATCTATAGGAGGATGAGAATTTTTAAATAATCATTCAACCATTCTATTCAGATAAACCATGAAAACAGAATTTTAAGCAAAATATAGAATAAAATAAAAATAAGTTTCAGAATTATGCCTCTAATTCTGAATAAAATTTTAAAGCATGGCATGTCTTGTAAATAAGTGTTCACATGCTTAATAATATGCATGGAAATGGCAAATGCCAAATTCAGGACAGTGGTATCCCTATAAGGGAGGAAGCAAGGCAATTAGATGAGGCAGGGATACACAGAGGGTCAACTCTAATCAAATTGTTTGACTGCCTCAAAAATCACTGAAGCAAAAATGATAAAATGTTTAGATTATATACAGCTGACTAATAGGGATATGTAGTTTACTGTATTATTTCTATGTCTTCAATGTATTTGAAATATTCCATAATCAAAAGAAGCAGCTTTTCCAGTAATATAAATGAAAGTAAGCAGTTGCCTAAAACTGACAACAGCTCTTCCAGTGATACTCAGGAGATGAACAGGGACAGGGATGGTGAGGGTTGGGGCGGTAGTGAAAGGAAAAAGAGAGTTAAATATAAAAAGACTCTTCTCTGACTCCCTGAAACCAGATATATAACTCTCCCTCCCCCCAAGGTTAAGAACTCAGCTATATCAGATATGAAGAGGTTAGGAATGAATCATTGTTAATCAAGAAATCAGATTACTTTACAGTATACACATTATCCAAAAACATCATTAAGCATAAAATACTTACTACAACTCCACTCTTGGTGGTAGTTTCTCTGTATGTGAAGTTGCAAATTGCCCAGGCTAAATAATATGTAGACATGAGAGGGGTCTGTGAAAAGTGATCCGTAACCCATCCATCTTCCTCAAACACAGAAGTTTCCACTGGCATATTGGATAAAGATAAATAGGTTGCTTGATGCTTAATGCTGATTTTGAAAGTAGCCTTGTAGATGGGCTCGTCAAAACAAGGAAATGCCTTTCTGGCATGTGTAGGTGAAAACTGAGTAATGCCAAGGAATCTGGAAAAAAAGAAAATGACATTCTCAATTACATTTATGGCCAGAGTTATTATCATTTTACATGTATCTGCTGATAAAATAACTTATTTTTGCCAAATTGCAAGATAACATTTTTTTCCTGAACTAAAGGGTATGAATAGCATAAAAATACAATTCATGTATTTCCCCCAAAATAAAAATTCTTCAGGGAAGTTTTTGTCTCAATTAAATTCTCTAAACCCAGGGCAATGATTACTATATAAAAATTATCCTTTATAGAAAATATCTCATTGGATCACATTAACAAATTGTGGGAAAAACGGTTCTCCTTCTGGGAAGTGCCTTACGTTTCTCCCTGAAACTATATAACATGTAAAGACCATGAAATCAAATTGAAAAGTTGTCATCACATACTTGTAGAACATAGACCATTGCTTAAAAAAATCAAATTTCAGCACCTGGCCTGATTTTGTTATGAAAAAGAACTTTGAAACCTGACAAAATTTGGTCTGAATTCTGACTTCACAACATTCTTAGCCTGATCCTCTTGGACCATTACTGAATTTCTCCAGTTAGTTGTTCATGACTTGAAAGGAATTAATCATGCCCCACTCAAAAAAAAATTGTAGAACTTAAAGGGAAGAATAAAAGAAGGTGCAAGGCAAAGCAAATAGATCCATAACACCAATAGGTGGGTAATAAATGGAAGCCACGAGCCTCCCTGGTGGCACAGGCTGTTGAGCGCAGCTCTCTGAAGCTATCTGCAGCCTCTGCAGTGCTTGTTCGATCCCCGCAGGCCTCAGAGCAAACCTCTTGGCAAGCAGACCTCTCCTGTCTCTCCCACTGCTCCCCTCAGCAGTGTATTTTGTCAGTCTGCCTGTTCTGTTCCCCGCTCTGTCTCTGGTGAGTCTTCTCACCCTCCCGTGTATCTGACCTGTACCCTGGTTCTTGAATAAAAAAAAATGAATCTTTTAAAAATAAATAAATGGCAGTCACTACTTCACAGTACCCTCAAAGCTTCTTAAAGTGCTACAACTTATATTACATTGAATAATCTGAAGAGACTTATTGAACAATGAGACCATTGGTTTTTACTACTCATATTTACTATATACTATATAAATTATATAAATTATAAGTTAATAGATATAGCAAGTATAACAAATATCCCTATAATAAATGCCAGTGCTTGTGTGTGTGTGCATGTGTGTAAAATACATATATATTATGCCTTCAGGTTTTCAGATGAAATTGCAAAGCTGCATCTTATTAAAATTTTAACTAGAGTCAACCTCTACATTCTTTCACCGTTATGGCTATAAATGAAAATATTCAAATTAAGTACTTTAAGAAGGACACTCTTAATAGAGGTCATTGTTTATGAGAACATTCATGACAGAAGCAAAACCTTTTTAATCATTAAAGTTAAACTTTTTTAATCATAGTAATTACAAGTCTTGATATAAGACAAGTCAATACCAGATCCTTTGTCAAAATTGCTGAGTTATAAAGTAAAAGAAAGCTCTTTTCTTCATAAACTGTTCTGCCACCATGCCCCTCTCCATCATCCGGTTGCAAATCGTTCATCTAACATGGCATAACTTCCCACTGAGCCCAAATGTGGATCAAAATTATTCCCAGCACAGCACTCAGGCAGCTACTACCAATCAATAGGATTTGACATGTGTGTTGAATCTTACAAGCTATCGCTGGCTCAACCTATGAGGTGTAAATGTTTACACCATTTTAAAATTATGAAGCTTACATTTATCATTGAGTGCATACTTTTATAAAGCTTATTTTTGAAAAAGAGAAAAACAAGACATTTTTAAGATTAATTGTATACTTACTCTCACAGAGAGGGTTTTGGAGAGTTATCTTGGAAACGGTACTGGGCTGCTACCTATCAGGCTTGGGTAAATCACTTAACTGCCTAAGCCTACTTTTTCATTAGTAGAAGGAAAATAATAATGTTTTCTAGGCTTTCCTTACAAAACTGTCTAGATGATAAAATGAGATAATATATGGGAAAGAAATTTTAACTATAAATCTTCTGACAAACATAAGGTTAAAGTTGGAAGCAATCTTAGAAACAAATTGTCCCACTCTCATAAATTTCTGAACTGAAAAATAGTTGCAGGAAGCTTAAGTGATTTGTCCAATATTACATAGGCAATTAGTAAAAACTGAGTCTAGAATTCATATTTTCAATGCCTGAGTCAAAGATAATTATATTTCAAAAATGGTAAAATTAATCTTCAGCCATAATTTATAAACAATGTTATAATTTGTTGGTAATAGTATTTCTTCTTTCCAAATTGATCAGCATCATGGTAATATTTTTCCTTATTATTTTCTGATAGTAATAGTTTCGACTTAAAATGTCAGTACCTTTTAGTTAAAATGCACCCATTTGCAACTTTCTCTTCACATGCTTTTGTCTTACATAATACTATGGAATCTTATCTATCAATCTTATTAATTAAAATCTCCACTAAGCTTGATATGTCTTTGCTGCGGCCATTTAAGGATACCTATGAGATTTCATGTAGGAGGAAAAATTTTCCCATTTACCTTTTAAGTGGCTGAGTACTCCAATGCCAATCATGGGGTAAACAGACACGGCCTGCCATGTGTGAACTTGTCAGTCTATTGTATATGTCCTATACTGGGTATGTTGCAGGAATTGCTTTAAAAAGATATAAGTACTTTTGACTTTGAGGTCTTTGCAATCTAATTGAAAAGAAAGTGTATATATACATTTGAAAAAAAAAAACTAATAGTACTATGGGGAATGTTCTGCAAGAGTTCAACAAAAAGGTTGCAATTAAAATGTATCAGTTGTTAAGTAACAATGAAAGATGTGTTTGGCATTAAGTAATTAATAGGAAGTAAATTATTAGATGTAGAAGATCTAAATACACCCAGGTTAATGAGAAATTAATAAACCAAATATTTATGCCAAAGAATCAAGTTTTGAAGTCTCTTTTCCTTATGTAGTCAGTAAATATGTTAATAAAGCTAGCAATTTAAATCACTGCTTCTCAGGGTTGAACAGAATTATAAAGATCATCTAGTGACTTTTCCTGCAATTAATATTCTTTTTTTTTTTTGAGTTCCCATTTTATTGTCATGATTTATAACTTACATAGTTCATATGCTACTATATTATGATTTATACACTACATAAGAATTTAAAACAAGAGAAATTATATGAAATTTTCAAATACAATATCAAAATTAAACAAAGACAGAAAGCAATAAAGAGCACTTTCTGATTCCACTAAACTAAACTGCTAAGTAAAAACAGCATGACAAAATACACACTTCAGAAGCCTTTTTTTTTTATTATTTTTTTTTTTTTTGAAATCAGGCAGCATTTTTAAAGTGACAATTTTTAGTTTTTTTTTTTTTAATTAATAAATTTTATTTTTATATTCCCCATACAATTGCAATCCCCCCATTCTGACCCCAATCCCTCCCCTCCCGCCCCCCACCCCCCCAAAAGTGTCTCTGGTTCATAGTTTTTGTTGATTTTGATTTTCACTTTCTTATAGTTATTCATTTTCCTGGTCCCTTATTTAAGTTTTCTAGATCCCTGCTATGAGTGAGACCATCCGGTATTTTTCTTTTTCTTTTTGGCTTATTTCACTGAGCATGATCCCTTCCAGCGTCATCCATGTTGCTGCAAATTGCATGTGTTTATCTTTTTTGAATGCTGAGTAATATTCCATGGTATATATGTACCACATCTTCTTGATCCAGTCATCTATTTTTGGGCATTTGGGCTGTTTCCAAAGCTTAGCTATTGTAAACAGTGCTGCTATAAACATAGGGGTGCAGGTGTTCTTTGGAATTGATGTTTCTGTGTTCTTTGGGTAAATTAATATTCTTAATGGATTCATACACACAGTATATATCTGTGCTCAGAGGGCCAACATATATTCTGATAATGTCTAAATGAGGAAATACCAATTTCACAGTCTGGCACCTGAGGATGATTGCAATTGAATTTCAATTCAGGATTTAGGAAATCAAAAGAAGTCCCTTGGTAAAGAAGAACAGTCGAACTAGATTACATTTAAGGTCTTTTCCAAGTTTGAGATCCTATAATGGAACAAAAATTTGAAATAAAATATTTCTTGAATTCAATGAGGTTTTTTAAAATGTGAGATTATGCTGCCACAAAATAACTATTTTACCTCAAATTCTATAATGCTTTTGCTTCCCTTATCATTCATTTGTGAGCATTCAGTACCGAGGAGAAAAAGATATAGATATATTGTATATATTTCCTTCCCTCACTGAGTTTATATTCTAATGAAATAAACAGTCTCAAACAGACAATCAAACACAAAGCCACGACAGACAGAAAATGTATGAAGTGCAGTCCCCTAAAGCAAGGTCTCTCAATCTCTGGCTCTACTGACATTCTAGGTGGACACATCCACTGTAAAATGTTCAGTAGTGTCCATGCTGGCACTAAATGCCAGCAGCGCCCACCTCCCCAGTTGTGGCAAAGAACTAAAGTGTCTCCAGAATTTGCAAATATTCCCTAGCAGGGCAAACTGGATCCAGTTAAGACCACTGGTCTTAAGAACAGAAGGAAGGTTTAATTGGGGGAGAAGCCTATGAATTTGGTCTTGAAGACTGGGCAATATTTTAAGGGCCAGACACATATCCAGGATGTGTTTAGAGAAGGTGATTTGGCATAGAAAATGAGTTTGGTTTATGAGCAAATCTGAAGTGGTAGTAGGACACTAGGAAGAACACAAAAATTAACTAAAAATAGAAAACATTGCAATATACAGTGTGGAGATGAAATACACATGTAAATACAAAAAGAAGTAAAATAAAAGAGCAGGAGGCAGAAAGTAATGGGGACAAATATTTTGTTGTCTGGGTTTTCTCCTGCTTGTTCAAATGTTCACCATTTTTATCTTTTAATGAATCCCTCACTTACATAAAAAAATCCACTTCCAAGAGTGACATCCTGGAAGTGTCATTCTAAGAATGTCACT